GCAGGAATGAAGACTATTGGAGTACATTTACTCATTTTGAGGCATCTCTACTTTGTTTGAGATTTTGAATTTTCTGCTACTTCTACTCCCCTGCATTTCTGAGGGAAATATCGTACATTTGACATCACTACTTTTATCTAACAGATATAGATAATACATGAAGAAACACGATAAACATTTCAGTAGTGTTCCCAGTCCTTTGCCACTTTAAGTACATTTTAATCTTGGTAGTAAAGCACCATTTCTACTTGTGGAATAAAATATTTTACCTTGTCAGATTGGTGCTAACGAGTAAAGGCTCAGACATCTTCTGTGTGTTGACTTGTGGCCATCAAGAAGACGTTAGCTTCTCTTTATTAAACTTTGACCTTGATTAAGCTCTGGCTGGGTCAGTTGAATGTCAGCTGCCTGACATCTCATCCCTCCTGTTTCCCCAGATTCTAAAGGTTAAATGATTCTTCAGAGCCCGACCAGATGTGATTCTGGTTTTGTCCTAGTGCCGCCCACAAACACCAGACCCTTCATGAGATGTTCAAATCCCATCTGACCTCTGACATAACATGGATGTCCATCTGCAGGCCAACCCTCAGCACCAGTACGCAGTCAACGGGAGAGCTGGCCGAAACTCAAGGCCAGTTGTAAGTATTTGAATGTAAGCACATTTCAAAAAACCATTCAGAAGTTTTTTAAATTTATAATTACAAACTACAATAAACTATTAGTAAAACTGCACCTGTATAGGGAACACTGGTATGTGTAATGGCACCATAATAAGATGGTGGAATAACATATAACCTATAGATTAGTTAACTATAGAGGTGCTTTGTTACCTTTGTAAGGGCCAGGCTAGCTGCCCTCCGGTTCCAGTCTTCATGCTAAGCTAAGCTAAACACTCCTACTCCAGCTGTGGGAACTACTCTTCTTCCCATTCTTGCTGAGAGTTGTGTCAGAGGATTGATGCATTCTCATGTTTGCTGCAGCTAGCTAACCTAGCATAAAGACAATAAACATGGGAAGGAAGTTATCTAGATTCAAAATCCACCCACCAGCACCCATAATCTTCAAATTTACATGTTTGTTTTATCCAATGAAAAGTCACAAGTTATGGTTTTACAGGGGATTTTTCTTGACCACTGGACCAGTAACTTCCTGGAGCTTTTTAGATTTCACACACTTTTTGTGTATGAATTAAAACAATCAATATATAATGTGTTAACAAATGAGCTTCAGAGGTGCTGGTATGCAGGCTTTTATCTTCAGCTGTTTATAATCTTTATGCCAAGTAAACACTTGTTTTACATAAAGCCAATTTAATGTTTGTGCAATTGCCTCATAAGATATAGGTGTGGTCAGTCAGTGTAGTCTTGTTTTAAAACACAGTGTATCAGATGAACAGCTGATTATTTGAAATGTACTTCACCCTGACCGAAGTGTGTTTACACAATGCAACCAGTCATCAAAGACGCTGAGACATGACACCTGCATAACAACCTAATCTCTTCGCATGCCTTAGGGGTGACATTTATTATCAACACACAGCACAGTCGAACCGGTTAAGCTGCAGTTTTCTAGGTCCTGCACTGCTTCACAACAAAAGACATCAATTCCAGCTGAAACCAACACATCAGCGTTAATCTCATACTGGTTTCAGGTTGATGTGACTGCAGGCATCTCTGTGCGTCTTAAAGCAGGGTTCTCAGCAACCATGTTGTGGCACTTTTAGTAACACCAGTGTCAGCAGCAAACCCTGTTTGCCATGTCAACGCCGAGGTGAAGGTCATCACCTTGAAATAGCTCAAATTAGCAGTTTCTTCTGGTGTAACTGTACTAAAACATGGTCAAAACACTCCATAGTCAAACACTCATTTGTCAGTTTGCATGAGAAATGTGTATTCTACTCATGTTCAGAGTACTAAGGGGTCACTTAAATTTGTAAGGGGTCATTTAAATTTAATAAGGGGTCACTTAAATTTAAAAGTTCATGCTATACGTACAACCAAAAAAAGATTTTGTATTTCTATAAGTGGGGTCAAATTATGGAATAATTTAAGTGTGGACATGAAAAATAGTACTAGAATTTAGGAGTTTAAATATAAATATAAATGTATGTGTTATACAAAATATATGCAAAAATAAGATTTATTCGAGAAGGCATTAAGGAAACACTGTTTTATCTATGTAGAGATACTGCTTGCAGCCAATGATGCATGAAATATTTGTATAATATGATGTCATGGGGTAGGACTGGATAAGTCTGACTTCTTCCTACTCCATTCAAACATGTAATAGGTATAGCAAACTGATTTTGGATTAGCATTGGTTGGATATGTGTGTGTTGCTGTCATTTGTTCTGTTCTGCATGTTTGAAAGAATAAATCAATCAAAACTGTACGCAGACTACAAAGAAAAACTAGCTGTTTCACCTTTGCCTTAGCACTGAAAAGTTGGTTCACTCTGCTCGTGTTAGCAGTTCCACCAAAGACGTTTCACATGGTTTCATGGTACAACTGTCTAATATTCCCCCAAAAATCCATAAACTGAATATAAATTTGAGTGTCATAACTTTGTATTTGTTTTCTTCCCTCTCTCATTACTGATCCCAAGACCTCTCAGATGTATTTGTTAGACCCTTTGAAGAGGCCTGACCCCTAGGTTGGGAACAACTGGACTAAACTAAATAAACTCTCTATAATTTTGAAATCAATTTAACTAGTTGCTTTGAAATTTGTCACAGTCTTAATTCGCAAATGAAGTTAGAGGTGGGTGAAAGCTCCAGAAAAGGTTGAGTAAAAAAAAAAATTCTCCAACTTTTGCAATGGTTAATAACAAAAACCTTTCAAGCTCAAAATTATTTTGAAATGTTGTCAGCTCAGCATGAAAACCATCCAGATTTGGAGGATTTCACTGCGAAAAATAAAAATAATTAATACCTGTGAAGTAATACTCATTTGAACACATTTTATTGCAGCTATGTGCTCATTGTCAGTAGTTTTTCTTTGTGGCTCTACTGCCCAAAAGACCACTGCTTGTTTTTAGGTCCATTGCACATTGTTACAGGAGATAACCTATTCCCTACAACCATGTGACCTCTCTTAAATAAGTGGACTCTATCTTTATCAGGTCCCAAAAAGACCTGAAAGTGAAACAGAAAAATCAGTAGTCACCAAGTGTTGTTACTGGACAGCCCACTGTGTCGTCTTTTTGAGGCAGCACTGTGTGGAGCAGGACAGCGACTTACAATACAGGAACCCACTTCAGACAACACCCTGATGAAGACAAGATAGCAAAAAAAATATAGGACTGAGACGTGTAGCTCGCACTTTCAAATTTAGAAAGAAAATCATGAAATACCACCGTGTCAACTCATCTTTTATTGTCTCTTGCCCTTGACAGAAAGATGATACTCTGCGCTTTTTTCGGGAGGAGCGGGAGTGCCTCAAATTCTTCGAGGACACTATCGGCTCATTGGAGGAGGGTCCAGACCACTGCAGGACAAGGCAGGTGAAGGCCCCCGTGAGCAGCAGTGGTCGTGTTGAACAGGCTGATAGTTCTGGAACCCCGAGTCTCAAATCTGGGGTCACTGTGTCGTCCCTCATGTCCAGACCTCCCAAGGACCAGGATATTATTGACCTGGTCCACCCAGAACCGGACTTTGTGCAGACCAAAGAGCCAGTCTTCAGTCCCACCAGTTCAGGTAGTGTACTGTGTAAATCAGCAAAGGCTCAACTCAGCTAAAAGACTAAACTCTATTCTAAAAACTATAAATAAAGTGTTACATTTTTATTTCCAGACAAGAATAAAAAATCGGGTTTAAAAATACACAATCATTTATTGATTTATTGCCTATAGACATTTCAATATACTGTATAGTCTAAAAATACTGGAAACAGCCAATGAAATACTCACCATGATGTGTTTTCTGTTGTATAGTAACTGCCCTCCAGGTTGCTAAAACCACATTTTCCTCAAAACCTGTCAAAGATATGACTTTAATGTCCCCGGACGGGACTGAAGCTTGTAGTCATTCCCAGATTTTCACTTTATACTTTGTTCCTTCCAGGTTTTCAGAGTATGTTTCCGACCCGTGAAAGCCACTCTGAGGTAAAGCCAAGGCATGATCCGATGGACAGCTTGCCTTCAGAGTACAACCCTACTCTACCAGGTGGCACCCATGGGTCGACAGACTACTCCTACCACCCCCCAGGGTGCATTCCCACCCCAGTCCTGATTGCCCAGAATATTGCACTCCACCGCCGTCAGAGTCTTGAGTCTGAAAAGCCACCGAGCTACAGCAACAATATTCCTGTGAAACAGGGTCCTCCTACCTCTGCTAAGCCTACCCGCTTCCCTGCTAATATCAACATGACTGTGGGCAACAAAGAGCAGCAGAACCAGTCAGTGGCGAACACGAGCATCCAGGAGCGTCGGTCACAGATGCTGGCAAATCTAACAGGAACATCACACCCTCTGTTGCTGGACGATCCTCAACAGGCCATCGAGCAGAAAGATCGAAATACTCCCACTCGCAACATCTCCCCCAGGGACCCTGAACGAGATCAGTCTAGGGCAGAGGCTCTGTCTAAGCTGGGCCTGACCAGAAACCAGGCCACGTCTGGGGGTATGTCACTCCCTAGCAGCACCTCACTGGATCCTGGAACAACAGAAATCAACATGAAACTGGCAGAAGCCAAAGTTACGACCTCACTTTGGAACCAGAGTCATGTCGATGGAAAACCACAGATTCTGCGGACAGGCTCCCACGGGAGCAATATAGATAGAAATTCCCAACCGAACCTGTCACCTCTATCAACCACAAAAAGCACCTACTCTTCACCTCCTTTGGAAACCAAGGTATCCACCTCCACTTCGCCTGAGGTCAGATCTCTGGAGTTTAACAGCTACGGGGGCAAATCTATTGTAGTCCAACCTTCTGTTTCTTCCAGGAGTGAACCTGTAACCTCTCCAACTAGTCATGACCCCAAAGTGCTGCCCCCTGCACTGGCTAAACCCAGCGAGTTCAACAATTTTGGAGGAAAGACAAAAGTC